GGCCCACCTCGGACTCCGAAAGTGCTGGGATTACAGGCGTGAGCCACCGCGCCCGGCCCGAGATTTTTTTTTTTTTTTTTTTTTTTTTTGAGATGGAGTTTCGCTCTTGTCACCCAGGCTGGAGTGCAATGGCGCAATCTCGGCTCACCGCAACCTCCGCCTCCTGGGTTCAGGCAATTCTCCTGCCTCAGCCTCCTGAGTAGCTGGGATTACAGGCACGCGCCACCACGCCCAGCTAGTTTTTGTATTTTTAGTAGAGACGGGGTTTCACCATGTTGACCAGGATGGTCTCGATCTCTTGACCTCGTGATCTACCCGCCTCGGCCTCCCAAAGTGCTGGGATTACAGGCTTGAGCCACCGCGCCTGGCGATTTTTGTATTTTTAATGGACAGGGTTTTGGCATGCTAGCCAGGCTCGTCTTGATCCCCTGACCTTAGGTGATCCACCTGCCTGGGTCTCCCCAAGTGCTGGGAATACAGGCACCCCAGGAGATGGTCTGCCCTTCCACCTTGGGTTTGGGATCAGCAACTCATGGAGAAGGTCCTGAAATAGAAATGTTTTAAAAGTATTTTGGGGCTGGACATGGTGGCTCACACCTGTAATCCCAGCACTTTGGGAGGCTGAGATGGCAGATCACCTGAGGTCAGGAGTTCAAAACCTCACCTCTACTAAAAATACAAAAAACTAGCCGGGAGTGGTGGCAGGCACCTGTAATCCCAGCCACTTGGGAGGCTGAGGCAGGAGAATCTTGAATCTGGGAGGCGGAGGTTGCAGTGAGCCGAGACTGTGCCGTTGCATTCCAGCCTGGACCACAAGAGTAAAACTTGACCTCAAAAAAAAAAAAAAAAAAAAAAAAGACATAAAAGGCATTTTGGGCCCCCCTCCATTTCAGGACCTTCTGTGGCTCCCTGGCTGCCCCCACATTCCCTCCCCTCTGGGGACTCTGCCTTCCTCCAGGCCTTGGCTCCCCATCTGAGGGAGGCTCCCCCAGCCACTCCAGCTGCCCTGTGTTAGATGCCACCTACCCTCCCAGAACTGAAGTCCTCACACAGCAGGTGGCCCCCACACCAAAGCCAGTCCACGGGCTGCTGCTCCCAAGGCCGGAGGAGAAAGGGCAGATCATCTCCTGGGGTGCCTACACTGCTGGGCAAAGACCCTGAGGCCCAGGAAAGTTTGTACGGAGTAGGGCCAGGAGGGCAGAGAGGCTGAGGGGACGGTGATGGCCTGTCCTTAGCCCCATATTCCAGGCCACAGCCCGTGGGGGGAGGGCAGGCCCACCCCAAAAGACTCCATTCAGTGGGCACATGGCTCTGTGGTCACGGCCCACAAAGCCTGAGCGCAGCAGCCCAGTAAGGCAGGGGTTGGCTGGTGAACAGGAGAAAAACAAGCCTCGAGGAGCGGAGTGATTGTGCAAGTTGCTCAGGGCATCATGGTAGAGCCATGACCCTGCAGGGAAGCCAGGGCCGCTGCCACCCCCACGCCAGGCTCACTTCCTGCATCCATTTGTGAAGCCAGGGGCTACCCTCCTGGCCTTGCCAGGCTGGGCACCAAGCCACATGAGGACAGAGCCCTGATTACCCAAACTCCGTTTCAGATCGGCTTCTCTGGTGGCAGTGTTTCTGCTGCTCGGCCAGAGTGCAGTGGCACTATCGTGGCCCACTGTGACAGCAACCTCCTGGGCAAGTGACCCTTTCCCCTCGACTTCTCACACAGTTGGGGCTACAGGCCCACACCACCACGCTGGTTAGCTTGTTTTTTAGAGATGGTTGGTCTCAAATGCTTGCCTCAAGTGGCCTTCCCTCCTCGGCCTCCCAAGTGCTGGGATTATGAGCACAGGCTGTGCCCAGCCTGCTAGCCGTTTTCCAGGGGTACTCAGGAGCCCGGACACTGTTTAAGGCCCACAGGAGGGGCCCCCAGCAGCTGTGATGCCCAGACTCCCTGCTCATGCTCATCCTGCACCAGAGACCCTTCCCCAACACCGCATGGCCCACGCTTCGGCCCCACACCTGCTGTCCGTGATGGGACCCTGTGCACAGGCGACCCTCGGACAAACTGCTCATGGGATACGGGAGAGATGTGTAAAAAGGCTTTATTTGCAGGGGAGCAGGAGTTTAATCAAAGAGGCCAAATCCCATGTCATCGTCTGACTCTTCAGACTCCTCCTTCTTCTCATCTTTCTTCTCCTCTGCTGTGGAAGAGAGCATGGTGAGTACTGCCTGGGTGCCAGGCCAGTCCCCGCAGCAGTGAAGACCCCATGACAGTGACAGTCTGACCCTCGGCCCTCTGCCCACTCACCAGGCCCCCACTTACCGGCAGCGGGGGCGGAACCAGCAGCAGGAGCTGCAGAGCCTGGGGCAGCAGACACGGCCACAGCCCCACCGGCAGGCACGCTGGCAAGCTTGCCAATACCTACAGAAGGCAGAGAGAAGCTGAGATCAGAGCAGCTGCCCAGCCGGGGAGGCTGTTCCACAGAGAAGCTAGATAGCACCAGGCATGACAGTGTGCCCAACACACCTGAGCCCCACCACACGGTTCCAGTGCCTCCCGTTCTTCCAGAACCCTCCCTCCCCAGCCGCCCCTCAACGTTTACTGTCAGGGACTTCTCTTCCCCACCTGTCCTACCCAGGGAGGGACTCGCCTTCTAGGAGTCAGGTGACACTGCCCCCCTCCCTACTTTTGCCACCTCCACCCTCTGAGGTCCACTGGACAAACATGTTTAGAGGCAGGTAGGGCATGAGTATGCTACCCAGCGTCCAGATCTCTGGCCACAGCGATGTGCTCGTGGCTTGGCCCGTTTGCTGAGCTGGCCCTGTCCTGGTCATGTGCACGGAGAACAGCAACAGCTGTCCCAACAGCTCAGCTGATGTCAACAGAGAACCATCTGCCCAAGAGGCAAGAAGCCCGTGGTCATCGCTGGCACCTAGTCCCCACCCACAACCCCCTAAACGTGAATCCAGTTCTCCAGACACCAAGTTTTGGAGGAATCCTAGGAAATGGCCTCAGTGTGCCCCTGCTGCCTGCTCCTGTCGTGCCTGGCGTGTCTAGAAGCGCCCATGGTGAGCCCACGGGAGCCCTGCTCACTCCTCGGGGGAGGCTTCTAGGGTGCTCTGGTCCACAAGCGAAACCTGGCAGGCCACAGGCTGACCGGCAGGAATTAGGATGGACCCTGAAAACAAACCAACGTCTCCTCCAGAAAAACTCACCCTGGGCAATCACGTCCTCAATGTTCTTTCCGTTCAGCTCGCTGATGACCTGGAGAAGACAATCGCACAGCTGCAGCCCCGGCCTTACCGATCGCTTCTAGAGTCACAACAGGCCTGGGTACACCACGTGGGAATACGCCCTGGAGTTTCTAGGCCTGCACTGCCCTAAGGGAGCCACCAGCCTCACTGCTTAGGTGGTGCACCGAGAAATGGAATCCAGCGTTCTCAGACTCAGCGCTGAGAGGACACACACCATCTCACCGCTCTGTTAACTATTCACACCCACCTGAAACAGGGGCAAAATAAGGTGGCCCTGAAATTGGCTTTGACTTCGGGCTGGAGTGCACTGATGGGATCTCGGGCTCAAGTGATTCTTCCATCTTAGCCCGGGACTACAGGCATGAGCCACCACACGGGGCTCTGGGACTGCAGCGGCGTGATCACTACTCACTGCAGCCTGGACCTCCCAGGCTCAAATCATCCTCCAGCCTCGGCCTCCTGAACAGCTGGGACTACAGATGCGCACCACTGACTAGTTTTCTTTTTAACTTTTCGTGGAGGCCCGGTCTTGAGATGTTTTCCAGGTTAGTGTGGAACGCCTAAGCTCCAATAATCCACCCGCCTTGGCCTCCCGAAGCGCTGGGGTAGCCACGCACCAGGCCTGCCTGTTTCTTTAGCAATCTCATGCGTGCCACCTGTGCCGAACTTCCAACGCTCCTGAATCACGACCTTGCCTCGTGCGCACCTTGCTTGCTTTTTTTGTCCTTTAGAGACAGTCTTGCTCCATCACCCAGGCTGGAGTCTCCTGCCTCAGCCTACCAAGCAGCTGGGATTACAGGCGCCCACCACCACACCCGACTAACGTTTCTATCTTTAGTAGAGACGAGGGTTTCAGCACGTTGGCCAGGAGGGGCTCGAGCCCCTCCTGACCTCAGGTATCCGCCGCGTCCGCCCCCACCACCCGGCTTGCTTCTATACCCCAGAAATCACCAGCTGGCCGGGCACACGCCGCGCCGCGGACCCTGCAGCACGAGGCCGGCTCGGGCAGGACCGGCCGTACCTTGTTGAGCCGGTCGTCGTCCGCCTCGATGCCGACGCTGTCCAGGATCTTCTTGATGTCCTTGGCGCTCGGGGAAGGGTTACCCCCGAGGGCAGCCAGCAGGTAGGAGGCGACGTAGCGCATCCTGCGGCGGGCGGAGAGGGCGCGACGGCGGAGTTACCCCGCGGCCTCCTGCCTGCCCACCCCGGGGCCCCGGGGCGAGGCCGCGCGTGGCCCGGCCCGCAGGCCTCTGCCCCAGAAAAACCCCGCCCCGCGGCCCGCCGCCCACCCCGCGGCCCCGCGGCCCCGCATCCCCGGCCCCGGCCCGCACCCCGGGCCCGGCCGCCACACTCACGCGGCGGCGTCTGCAGCGGCGGCGGAGAGGCCTCACGCGTGCGACCTCGGCGGCGTCAGGGAGGAAAAGGAAGGCGCCGACGCAAGGGGGCGGGGGTAAACCGCTACCCAGAAGCCTCTGGGGCCCACGCGCGGCGACGCATGGGGCGCCTCAGAGTGACGTCACGAGGCGCTCAGCCAATGACGACGGCGGAGAAACCATTGACACCACCCCCCCTTTCCTTCCCCTCTCAGGCAGTTTCTGCGGCAAAGGGGAAGGGCAGTAGTTCCGGAACTGGCTGCTCTTATACTGTGGGGCGAATGTCCCGCAAAACTCGTGGCGCGATGGACCAAGCAAGCCCAAAGGGACGGCATCTGTCTTCAGTACCGGGGGCTCCCATCATGCCACACGACGCCTACACCTCCCAACATGCAGCGCGGCCGCCACGCCGGGGCCGTATCCTTTGCCCGCGAACCACAAGTCCCATGGTACACCGCTGCCGGAAGTGGCCTGCGCCACCGGCCTACGCGGAACGGCACGTGGGCCCGGGCAGAGGCTAAGCTCGCTGTGAGTCTTTGGTGGTTCCCCGGCCGCGGCGACCCGTTGTCCCATGTCCAGCCGGGCTCAGTGAGGTGAGCCAGCCGCCTCGGACTTAGCGACTGCGGCCCTGCGTGGGAGGCCGCCCCCGCCACGCGGGGCCAGGGCGTACTGCCGGAGGACGAGCGCGAGCCTTAGAGACCAGGACAATGTCGTGAGGCAGCGGCGCCCTCACGCACCCCTGGGAGGAGTGAGGTCCGAGTGGGCAGCCCCTGCGCCGGCCACTTCGGCCCAGAACTGACCTCGGTGTCCACGTGGACATCAGCGTATCAGGGACCCTGCTACACCCTGGGGTCCTGGGAGGGAACAGGGTTGGCCCTGCCTCCTAAGAACTGGAGTTCGTGTGCGAGGACTCAGGAAGCGAATGAAGGAAGCGATCCGAGGGACAGGGACAGAGAGGGAATTGGTCTGGGCAGCCTGAGAAAGCTTCCACGAGGCAGTGTCCTTGAGCTAAAACATGAAAAGGAGCCGACCCTGCCAATATCCGGGGCAAGCACCGGACACTGGGGTCAGATGCGGATACCTGAGGTGTCACGCAGGCAGCGCCAGCTCGCGTGGGGCTCAAACAGCAGCGGGGTGTACATCAAGCACTGCAACTCGAACTTCACAGTTGCCTTAGTGGCCTCGTTACCTCTTTGTAGATGAGGAAGTTGGGTACAGAAAGGCTTTTCTTACTGAGGGTCACATCTGGGGTAAAGGCGGGAAACCACCTTGGGAACAATGGGACTTTTTGAATTTTTTAATTTTTGAGACTGGGCCCCATTCTGTCGCCCAGGCTGGAGTGCAGTGGGTCGATCACAGCTCACTGCAGCCTCAACTTCCTGGGCTCAGGTGGTCCTCCCACCTCAGCCACCACACCCGGCCACACATTTTTTGGTGTTATTGGTAGAGACGGGGTTGCCCAACATGGGCTCAAGTGATCCTCCCACCTGGGCCTCCTAAAGTGCTGGGATTATAGGTGTGAGCCACCATGCCTGGCCAGCATGGGACTTCTGTAATTACAAAGGGAAGCCATTCAGTGTCTTAAGCCAGTCCCTTCACATTGGTGTGCCACCGTCCATACCAATTTTTTTTTTTTTTTTTTTTTTTTTTTTTTTTTGAGGAGTCTCACTATTGTCCAAGTTGGAGTGCAGTGGCGTGATCTTTGCTCATTGCAACCTCCGCCTCCGGGGTTCAAGCCATTTGCCTGCCTCAGCCTCCGTAGTAGCTGGGACTACAGGCATGTCTCACCACGCCTACCTGATTTTTATATTTTTAGTATAGACGGGGTTTCACCCTGTTGTCTAGTCTGGTCTTAAACTCCTGACCTCAGGTGATCCGCCCGCCTTAGCCTCCCAAAGTGCTGGAATAACAGGCACAATCCACTGTGCCTGTCCCCATCTCACTTTTTTTAAATTATCCCAAACAAACTCTGTACCCATTAAATTCCTATTCCCTGCTCCCCCAGCCCTTGATAACCACCATTCTACTTTCTGTTTCCATGATTCTGACAACAGTAATACCCCTCGCGTAAGACTGAAATCATACAGTATTTTGCTTTTTGTCTGGTCTCTTTCATTCAGCTTATTTTCAAATTTCAAGTATCTAGCTAAAAGGAAGTCCCTAAGTCTAACGTAAGTAGAGAAACGTTTACATGGGCCACGCTTGAGGACTGCGAGCTGGGAGCACAGATTCGGGTTGCTCAGAATTTACACTTGGATGAGCAGCAGTTTCAAGTCGATTTTTAGTTTCTATAATTTCAATTTTTTTTTTTTTTTTTTTTTTTTTGAGACAGGATCTTGCCATGTCATCCAGGCTGCTCTCCAACTCCTGACCTCAGGTGACCCACCCACCTTGGCCTCCCACAGTGCTGGGATTACAGCGTGTGCCACCGTGCCTGGCCTGTAATTTGATCTTTTGTAGAGATGGAGCCTTGATGTGTTTCTCAGGCTGGTCTCAAGCTTCTGGCCTCAAGCAGTCCTCTTGCCTCGGTGGCTCAAAGTGGTAGGATTACTGGTGTGAGCCACTGTGACCTACAAGTGGATTTTTTTTTTTTTTTTTTTTTTTTTTTTTGCAGACGGGAGTCTCGATTTGTCACCCAGGCTGGAGTACAGTGGAGTGATCTGTGGTCTCAGCTCACTGCAACTTCCACCTCCCAGGTTCAAGTGATTGTTCTGCCTCAGCCTCCCCCGCAACTCAGGTACCTGGGATTACAGACATCCACTACCACACCTGGCTAATTTTTTTTTTTTTTTGAGATGGAGTTTCACTCTTTTTGTTCAGGCTGGAGTGCGATGGCACAATCTCGGCTCACCACCACCTCCACCTCCCTGGTTCAGGGGATTCTCCTGCCTCAGCCTCACAAGTAGCTGGGATTATAGGAGTGCACCACCACACCCAGCTATTTTTGTATTTTTAGTAGAGACAGGGTTTCTCCATGTTGGTCAGTCTAGTCTTGAACTCCCAACCTCAGGTGATCCGTCACCTCGGCCTCCCAAAGTGCTGGGATTGCAGTGTGAGCCACCGCGCCCAGCTTGATTTTTGTATTTTTATTTTTTTATTTATTTATTATTTTATTTATTTATTTTTTTGAGACGGAGTTTCACTCTTGTTAAGGCTGGAGTGCAATGGCACGATCTCGGCTCACCGCAACCTCCTGGGTTCAGGCAATTCTCCTGCCTCAGCCTCCTGAGTAGCTGAAATTACAGGTGTGAGCCACCATCCCTGGCTAATTTTTGTATTTTTAGTAGAGACGGGGATTTGAGATGGGGTTTCACCATGGTGGCCAGGTTAATCTCGAGCTCTTTTTTTTTTTTTTTTTTTGAGACGGAGTTTCGCTCTTGTTACCCAGGCTGGAGTGCAATGGCGCGATCTCGGCTCACCGCAACCTCCGCCTCCTGGGTTCAACCAATTCTCCTGCCTCAGCCTCCTGAGTAGCTGGGATTACAGACACGCGCCATCATGCCCAGCTAACTTTTTTATTTTTAGTAGAGACGGGGTTTCACCATGTTGACCAGGATGGTGTCGATCTCTAGACCTCGTGATCCACCCGCCTCGGCCTCCCAAAGTGCTGAGACTACAGGCGTGAGCCACTGCGCCCGGCCCTGATGTCAAACTCAACTATAGGTGATCCACCCACCTCAGCCTCCCAAAGTGCTGGGATTACAGGTGTGAGCCTCTGTGCCCATCCTATTTTTAAATTTATCTTGTTAGAGGGAGTCTTGCTTTGTTGCCCAGGCTGGAGTGCAGTGGTGTGATCTCAGTTCACCACAGCCTCTGCCTCCCAGGTTCAAGTGATTCTCCTGCCTCAGCGTCTGAGCAGCTGGGACTACAGGTGTGCGCCTCCATACCTGGCTGGTTTTTCTCTTTAGCAGAGGCGGGGTTTCACCATGTTGGGCAGGCTTGTATTTAACTCCTTACCTCAGGTGATCCGCCCACCTCGGCCTCACAAAATGCTGAGATCACAGGCGTGAGCCACCGCGCCCGGCCTGTGGTTGGTTTTTAAAACGATCCCTCGCCGGGTGCGGTGGCTCAAGCCTGTAATCCCAGCACTTTGGGAGGCCGAGGCGGGTGGATCACGAGGTCGAGAGATCGAGACCATCCTGGTCAACATGGTGAAACCCCCGTCTCTACTAAAAATACAAAAAGTTAGCTGGGCATGGTGGCGCGTGCCTGTAATCCCAGCTACTCAGGAGGCTGAGGCAGGAGAATTGCCTGAGCCCGGGAGGCGGAGGTTGCGGTGAGCCGAGATCGCGCCATTGCACTCTAGCCTGGGTAACAAGAGCGAAACTCCGTCTCAAAAAAAACCAAACAAACAAACAAAAAAAAACGATCCCTCGGCACCTACGTGAAAGGGGCTGGTGGGCATGGAAGCAGGGGGGCCTGGCAGAGACCTGCGCATCCCAGAGGGATGGATGGTGGTAGCTGGGAAGTGGAAGGAAGAGGCTGTGCGACCTGAGTAAAGACGCAGGCGTCGCTGGTGCTGTCTGCTTCCTCGGAGCACGTGCGAGGGAGCCGGTGAATGAGGCGCACACCGGGGAGGCCGTGGTGGGGAGGGCGGGCGGAGCAGGTGTCGGGTTCCTGGCTTTGACACGCAGCAGCGACGGAGCCTCCTGCCCTGCCCGACTCAGGGAGGCGGCGCCGGGAGGATCACTGCGAGGGCTCCGGGCCCAGAGTGATCACGGCTCGAAGGAAGGGTCTGCGGGCCCAGAGGGGAGGTCCCGGCCGGCTTCCCGGAGGAGGAGGCCGGAGGGGCTGGTTGGGGGAGGGCACCGCAGGTATTCTGGCTTCTAGCCGGGGTGGGTGCGGGGCAGCGGCCAGAGTACCCCGGCCTGGGGTCTCACCGGGGCCCCGAGAACCTGGAAAACGGTGGGTTTCGCCGCGCGCCGCCGGCGTCGGGACGGACTAACGGGGAGCCGAGCGCAGCTGTGCGGGGGGCGCGGCAGGTGGACGGGTGGCGCCCGCGGCTCCTGGGCGGGAACGGGCGGACGGAAGGCGGGGCGGGGAGGGGCCCGGAGACCCCCGCTGTGGCCCCAGCCCGGCGCGGGAGCGCGTTCCGACGGGGCGGGGTCTACGGTCTCCGCCCGCCCAGAAACGCGCCGGCGGTTTTCCCCGCGCAGAGCGTTCACTGAGCAGCCCCGGTCTGCGCGCCGCCTGGAGCGCAGGTTCGCGCCTGCCCCGGCGGCGGCGGCGGCGGGGGACGTTTGCTGCAGGGAAGGGGGGGCCATTCCCATCCCCGACGCCATCTGAGCCGGCGGTGCGCGGCCACCACCCTCCTCAGCGGACCCAATTGGAAAGGGCGGACAGCATTGCTCCAGGGCTCATGAATTGGGGTCCCGGCCTCAGGCCCTCACCTTTGCACTGTCTATCCTTGACTTTCGGGGCGCAGTCACTCCCGCCGTAGAGGAGGGTCGTGGCCCACCTGGCAAAGCTGATGAAACCAGAGGGGGGTTCATTCCCAGCCCTGGGGGACAGCCTCGGTCACCTCACAGCTGCAGGCATCCGTGGGTCAGATTCCCGGGACCAGGACTGAAGCCTCCCTCCCTCCCTCCCTCTTTGCTGCTGACAGTGGGGCCTCCTGCCTGGTGCTGCTTTTCGCCCTGGCAGTCCCATTTCCCAACCCTGTTTCCAGTGATGCCCAGGCCTTGGGGATGCAGGGCGCCCACGAGATCTCCCCGACTCTCCAGCCCAGGCCCGGATGGCTCAAGAGCTCCCCACTCCAGCCAGAGTCCCTGTTTCCCCAAAGAGAGGAGGGCTCCCGCTCACCCCTCCCCTTGTCTCTGCAGCTTCCTCGGGCCCTGCCTGGACAGGCCTGCCTACGTGCTGGGACATGTCTGGCCTCCAAGGACGGTCAGTGGGTGATGTCTGCAGCAGTGGAGGGGCCAGAGCTGGAGGCAGTAGCAGCAGCCGCAGGAGATGCTTCAGAGGCTGCAGATGCAGAAGATGCTTCGGAGGCTGTGGATGGAGGGTCCAGGGCGCTGCGGTTCCTGGGTGGCAACCGGCTGAGCTTGGACCTGTCCCCCGGGGGCTGCCACCGCCTGCTTCACCTGTGTGTCCAGCAGCCCCTCCAGCTGCTGCAGGTGGAGTTCTTGCGTCTGAGCACTCACGAGGACCCTCAGCTGCTGGAGGCCACCCTGGCTCAGGTGCCTCAGAGCCTGTCCCGCCTCTGCTCCCTGGTCCTCAAAGGTGAGCCCCACCCATTCCCTGCTCTGTCTCCACCTTTCACTCTGCCCTGCCTCTGCTGCTTGGTCCTCAAAGGCAAACCCCAGTCCCAACCCCAGCTCCAGGCTGCCCCTTGTGGCCCCCCAGGTGTGAACTGTTCTGCTCTTGGCCCTCTCCAGCCCCACCCCCATCCTTGGTGACTCCTACCGCCCCCCTCCCCCCCCTCCCGCTGTGAGGCCGGCTGGGCCCTGACCCCAGACCACCAAGCCACCCCTCGGTGGTCTCTCGAAGACTGCAGTACAGTGAGTGGCGTGAGGGCTGGAGGGGTGTCTTGTGGGGAAGGTTGTGGGTGATGGTGTCAGCTGAGACGGCTGGTGGTCTCCATCCCTTCTTCCAGCTGCAGCAGCCTCTCCAGTGTTTTTGTCTGTCCCTGTCTGGCTGCGGTGGGGGTGGGGGTGGGAGGTCGGTGCCTCTCGAGCAGCTGTTTCTCTGGCTGGCAGGGTTGATCTGGGACCTGGGTCCCTGGCTCTGAGGGCCACATCCGCCTCCCCCCCTTCCCAGGAGGGCAACGCCGAGACACACTAGGTGCCTGCCTCCGGGGTGCCCTGACCACCCTGCCTGCTGGTCTGAGTGGCCTGGCCCATCTGGCCCACCTGGACCTGAGCTTCAACAGCCTGGAGACACTGCCGGCCTGTGTCCTGCGGATGCCAGGTCTGCGTGCCCTCTTGCTGTCCCACAACCGCCTCTCCGAGCTGCCTGAGGCTCTGGGGGCCCTCCCCGCCCTCACCTTCCTCTCCGTGACACACAACCGCCTACAGACGCTGCCCCCAGCTCTGGGGGCCCTGACCACCCTGCAGCGCCTCGATCTCTCTCAGAACCTTCTGGACACGCTGCCTCCTGAGATTGGAGGCCTGGGCAACCTCCTTGAGCTCAACCTGGCCTCTAACCGACTGCAGAGCCTCCCAGCCTCCCTGGGTGAGTAGCCGCCATGCCCTGGCACACCGACCCCATGGCAGGGGCCTCCGAACCCGCAGGCTGGGTCCATGGCTGCCCCTGTGAGTCCCTGCACCTCCCTGGGCTTTGAGACTTCCTGAGCGGCTCTGTGGGAGTTCTCTGAGCCCAGCTGTGGAGGAGAGTCTGACATGGCTGCTCTGGGGGGCGGCAGCAGGAGTGCCCCGGCGTCGTGGGCCACACTGGTACCGAGCCTAAGCCAGCACCTGCCCACAGCGGGGCTGCGGTCCTTGCGGCTCCTTGTCCTGCACAGCAACCTCCTGGGCTCTGTGCCAGCCAGCCTGGCCTGCCTCCCGTTCCTCACCCGGCTCGACCTGAGGGACAACCGGCTCCGGGACCTGCCCCCTGCGCTGCTGGACGCCCCCTTTGTGCGCCTGCAGGGGAACCCCCTGGGCGAGGCCTCGCCAGAAGCCCCGAGTTCCCCAGGTAGGCCTGGAGCTAGAGGGGCAGCCCTGGGACCGGACGCGGTCTCCTTAGTGTCCCAGCCACATGTCTGACCCTCCGCAGGGGCAGCCTTTGTTCCAGAAATGCCCAGACTCTTCCTGACCTCAGATTTGGACAGGTACGGGGCGGGGGTGAGGGGCTGCAGGGGTGTCTGTGGACAGGTACGGGGCGGGGGTGAGGGGCTGCAGGGGTGTCTGTGGACAGGTACGGGGCGGGGGTGAGGGGCTGCAGGGGTGTCTGTGGACAGGTACGGGGCGGGGGTGAGGGGCTGCAGGGGTGTCTGTCTGCCTGTCACCCTGGCGCCTCCGACGCCTCCTCCAGAGCTCCCAAGTCCAGGCTCCTGACACGTAGGCCCCTGTGGGTCTGACCCGACGCATGCTCCTCCCTCACTCAGCTTTCCTGTGACCCCTGGAGGCTGCTCCGTGACCCTGGCCTGTGGCGTCCGCCTGCAGTTCCCAGCGGGGGCCACCATCGCCCCCATCACCATCCGCTATCGGCTGTTGCTGCCAGAGCCGGGCCTCGTCCCCCTGGGCCCTCATGATGCCCTGCTCAGCTGTGTGCTGGAGCTGCAGCCCCACGGGGTGGCCTTCCAGCAGGCACGGTCAGGGTGTGGTGGGGGGTGGTGTGTGGGGCGGTGTGGACCCAGGCCTGGCCCCAGCCCTCACACCGCCCTTTCCTGGCAGGATGTGGGCCTGTGGCTGCTCTTCATGCCCCCACAGGCCCGGCGCTGCCGTGAGGTGGTGGTCAGGACCCGGAGTGACAGCAGCTGGAGTGACCTGGCGACCTTCCTGGAGGAAGAGGCACCCAAGGTGAGGGCCACCCGGGCCTGCCAGTGACGGGTGGGGAGCTGCTGCCCTGTGCCATGCAGCCCGCCCAGAGCCTCGCCCTGGCACCTTCCACCCCGCCCCGTCTATCCTGGATCCGGTCCCTCCATGTCCCTGGCTGGCCGTGCCTTGACCCCGGCTCCTCTGACTGTTCCCCTCGCCTGTCCCAGCGGCTCTGGGCTCACTGCCAGGTGCCCCACTTCTCCTGGTTCCTTGTGGTCTCCCGCCCTGTGTCCGACGCCTGCCTGGTGCCACCAGAGGGAACACTGCTGTGCTCCTCAGGTCATCCCGGGGTCAAGGTCATCTTCCCCGATGGGGCCACTGAGGAGCCTCGTCGAGTCTCCATGCAGGTACGGCCAGGGGAGCACCAGGGTGGCCGGCGGCACGGCCCACAGGCAGGTGCTCAGGGGCCCGTCCGCCGCAGGTGGTGCGCATGGCTGGCCGAGATCTGCGAGCCCTCCTGGGAGAGCCAGAGGCCGCGGCAAGCCCCCTGCTGTGCCTCTCACAGAGCGGCCCCCCCAGCTTCCTCCGGCCCGTCACCGTGCAGCTGCCTCTGCCCTCTGGTGTCACAGGTGAGAGGTGGCCGTGGGGCACACCTGGACCTGTGGCCATAGGGTGGAGGGGACCTCCGGCCAGGAGGCCTCAGCCTGCTGCCCCTCCCGTCCCCAGGCCTCAATCTGGACCGCTCCCGTCTGCACCTGTTGTACTGGGCCCCTCCTGCAGCCACCTGGGATGACATCACAGCTCAGGTGGTCCTGGAGCTCACCCACCTGTATGCACGCTTCCAGGTCACACACTTCTCCTGGTCAGTTGTAGGGCCACAGCCCCCCAGGGTCATGGGGTGTCCCTTGTGCTGTGTGGAGGCGCAGGACCCGAGAAATAAAGAGACAGGACACTGAAGGACTGGAGAAGAGCAGCTGGGCTCGGGGCCACACCACCTATGAGCGGAGACAGGCGAGGCCCCGAACGTCCAGGAGCGTCTGTATTTATTGGGTACCAGACGGGGAAGGGTCGTGAGTGAGGTCATCTTAAAAACAGTGATAGGATCAAGACAATCACAATAAACAATCGGTCCACCCATTAGGTCACCTGGGCAAGGAGGTGGGCCGTGCGCAGTGAAGAGTGCTCTGTGCAATATCCCTTGTCTAGGGGCGGGCTACTTCCAAGGAATTCTATAGAAGGATGCTCTTAAGTCAGCACAGTAGCAGAGCTGACCAGGTCCACAGCCACCTGCTGGCACCTTCCAGTGAGTTCTGTAGGAGGACACATTTGAGCCAGCCCAGTAACAAGAGCTGATAAAGTTCTTAGTCACCAAGGTGCGATTATCCGGAGGGGTTTTAGGCCCTCGGACGCTCGCGAGATTGCAGGTCTGAGGGCAGCCTTCCACAAGAACTGGACGCAAGGTCCTACAGCTCCTTTATCAGGAGGAGAGGCTCTTGCACCAAGCCTGCCACACAGCGGGTACCTTTACAATACCGAATGCTGCCGCCTGGGCCAGGTTCTTGCCCTGGTGTAACTGTTTTTCCCTTCACTCGTGCTCTGCACTGTGTCTGCTCTAGGCATTCCTCTGACTATGAGCAAGATACGCTTACATACGTATAGCTGTTTATCACTTAATTCATGCTCGGCTCTGTGTCTGCTCTAGGCATTCCCCTATGAACTAAGATGTAATTGTATATATGTAGAGAAATAACTGGGTAGTAAGATATTCCTCAGGCACTAATTGTCCCGACTGTAAATTAATACGTGATTGTATATAAAGGAAGTGACCGAGTAATAACTCCATAAACTAAGACATTCTTCAGGCACTAATCCTGCCGGGGGTCTGCTTAGCTCTCCTTCCTCGGCGCCCAGATCGGGGGTTGCCCACAGTCAGTGCTCCAGCCTCCTCAGCCCCCTCCCTCGCCCCGGCCCCCCAGGTACTGGCTCTGGTACACCACCAAGAACTGCGTGGGAGGCCTGGCTCGGAAGGCCTGGGAGCGGCTGCGGCTGCACCGGGTGAATCTCATCGCGCTGCAGCGACGCCGGGACCCCGAGCAGGTCCTGCTGCAGTGCCTGCCCCGAAACAAGGTGGGGACACGGGCTTGGGGGGCTCGGGGCGGTGGCTAGACGGCTGGGGTGCTGAGCTGCACGGCGTCCCTGCAGGTGGACGCCACCCTTCGGCGGCTGCTGGAGCGCTACCGGGGCCCAGAGCCCTCCGACACGGTGGAGATGTTCGAGGGCGAGGAGTTCTTCGCGGCCTTCGAGCGAGGCATTGACGTGGATGCTGGTAGGGCCTCCCCGTCCTGGAGAGGGAGCCCTGCTGTCCTCCCTGTGCCCCTGCTCAGCTCCCCCCCCATCCCCTAGACCGCCCTGACTGCGTGGAGGGCAGAATCTGCTTTGTCTTTTACTCACACCTGAAGAACGTGAAGGAGGTGTACGTGACCACCACCCTGGACCGGGAGGCTCAGGCTGTGCGGGGCCAGGTGGGCAAGGGGGCGGGCCCCCCAGGCTGCCCGGGCACAGGGCCAAGCTCTGAACCCCATTCGATGCCCCCTCAGGTGTCCTTCTACCGTGGCGCAGTGCCCGTGCAGGTACCCGAGGAGGCAGAGGCTGCCCGGCAGAGGAAGGGCACGGACGCCCTGTGGATGGCCACTCTGCCCATCAAGCTGCCGGTGGGACTGAGGGACAGTGGAGGGCTGGGGGCAGAGCCGAGACCCGGGGGTGGAGCCCAGGGGCACGTGGTGGAGTCTGGGGCCGAGCCCAGGGTTTTCTGCTGTTTCTCCTCCAACAGAGGCTTCGGGGGCCCGAAGTGCCACGGCGGGGGACTGGCCTCTCCTTGGCGCCCCTGAACCTGGGAGATGCTGAGACCGGCTTTCTGACGCAGAGCAACCTCCTGAGCGTGGCTGGGCGCCTGGGTCCGGACTGGCCGGCCGTGGCCCTGCAGCTGGGCATGTCCTACCGCGAGCTGCAGCGCATCCGGCACGAGTTCCGGTGAGGCTTCCACTGGGCACCTGGAGGGCCCGCCTGATGCAGACAGCAGTTTCTTCCAGGGGAGGTGGGGGAAGGGCAAACACCAGGCTGGGAAGGAACCCTCTGGCCGAGGTTGGCCCAGGCAGCAGGGAACTCCCCGACACTGCGAGGCAGAGCGTGGTGGGGGTACTGGGCAGGTGGGCAGGACTCCCTCTGCCCCCATCCTCTGCCCACAGGGATGACCTGGATGGGCAGATCCGTCACATGCTCTTCTCCTGGGCTGAGCGCCAGGTTGGGCAGCCAGGGGCTGTGGGGCTCCTGGTGCAGGCCCTGGAGCAGAGTGACCGGCAGGACGTGGCTGAAGAGGTCCGGGCAGTGCTGGAGCTTGGCCGCCGCAAGTACCAGGACAGCATCCAGCGCACAGGCTTGGCCCCCAAGGACCCGGGGGTGCCTGGCTCGTCGGCTCCACAGCCCTCAGAGCCTGCCCAGGCCTAGGCCCCACAGACTTCTGGCCGGCCTGGAGTTTTCCCAGCGGATGGGCAGAGCCCCCACCTTCAGGCCTCTCCAGTGTGTGGGGACAGGGTTCCCCATGGGCATCAAACCTGCACTGTTTGATTCGCTGTTTCAGAGCGTGATTGATTTGTTGGATGGAGAAAGCACTGGAGGGCGGGGGGGGGGGGGGGGGGGGGCGGGGTCATCAGGCCTGGCCCTGCTGGGAGGGAGCCCTGCCTGAACACATGCCCCACAGCCTGGTCCTGTCCCCTCCCACTGTGCCTCGGGCCTCCGCTGGGTCCTGATCTTCCCGGGAGGGCCTGTGCTGCAAGGTAGCCCAAATGGGCTCCGTTTTTATTTTAAGACGGAGTTTGTCACCCAGGCTGCAGTGCAGTGGGCTGATCTCCGCTCAGTGCAACCTCTGCCTCCCAGGTTCAAGCGATTCTCCTGCTTCAGCCTCCCCAGTAGCTGGGGCCAGGGTTACTTGCCAGCACACATGGCTAATTTTTGCATTTTTAGTAGAGATGGGGGTTCACTATGTTGGCCAGGCCGGTCTCGAACTTCCGACCTCAAGTGATCTGCCCGCCTTGGCCTCCCCAGGTGCTGAGATTGCAGGCACCTGGCTCCAGGTGGGCTGCTTTGGATACAAAGTCGCTTTTCGGCGGGCGGGCTTGTGCTTCCGCCGGGCCCGGCAGTTCCGCCCTGGAGAGGGTGCCTCCCCCAGGACACCCTTATCCACCGGCGCGCTGCCGCCTGCCCGCGGCCCGCGGGTCCTTGTCCCTGCAGGGGCCTGAGGCCCGGAAACCAAAAAAGGACCGTGGGGTCGTGCAGCCTCTGCGCGCAGAACTGCCACCTTCCCGGGGCGGGGGCGGGGGCGGGGGGGCGGCGGCCTGGCCGGCGCAGTAGTCTCGGCGGCCGGCAGGGGGAGGCGGAGGCCGAAGGGCGGAGCGCACGGCGCGGCGGGGAGGCGAGCGCGGCGGCGGCGGCGAGCGCGGTGAGTGTCCGCCCCGTGGCTCCCTTCCGCTACACCCATCCGAGCGGGGCCGCGGCGGCCCGGGGAGGTGACAGCTGCCAGGGCATCGCGGCCCGGGGTGGGGGTCCTGGACCAGCGGGTGCCCCGATCCGCCGCTGCCCTGGCGGGAGAGGCCGTGCTCGGCCCCGCGCACACGTGTCCCCGGGGGTGGGTGCCCGCCGCCCGAGCCCAAGGAGGAGAGGCCGGGCTATGTGGGGCGCACACGTGGGATTTCACTGGACGTCTGTGGACACGTGCGCGGCCGGCTGAGCCCCAGCAGTGAGGCAGGGGCCTGAGCCGTCCCCAGCCCGCTTCTCCTTTGTCCCGGGGCCGGGGCACCGCGCAGCTGGAGACCCCTTCCGGGACCCTGCGGCCAGCAGGCTAGAAAGTGCCGCCCCAAGAGGACGGGGACAGCGGGAGATTGAATGGGGAGCCGGCGGCCGGTGCCAGACTCGGAGCCTCACCCTCATTGCCTTTCTTGGGGGTAGGAGGAGCCTGGCGGCTTCTTGGGTGGAAGATTTTACTCCTGCAGATCCGGAAGCAACGGTATCTTCCCGGGGGGTGGTCTCCGCCCTCCTGCGTCCTCCCTGGCTGGCCTGCGGTTTCTGTACCTGACTGTGAAGGGGGGACCGCGAGGACTCACAGCCCTGGGGCCTGGCTGGGGCTGGCTGTGGGGTTTCTATGGCAACGTCAGTGCCGGGGGAGGGCCCTGGCCAGCTGTCTCATAAGCCCGGGGTGGGAACTGCGGAGTGAGGACAGGGAAAGCGGGCGTTGGCGTTCAGAGGGAACCCCTACCGGTTCCTCCCCAGGCAGAGCCCCTCACCGCCGTCATCTTCCACCCAGAAGCTCCTCTCCGCTGGGCGGTGTCCGGGCCCAGGCCTGCCTCTCTTCCTGGGACAAATGGCCGCTCCCCATCCGTGTCAGCCTGACTTCCAGGAATGCCCCCTTCATGCGGATGTCCCTCACCGCCAACTGGAGACGGGCTCCCGGGAGGAAGGGGGTTCTCAGTCCCCGGAGGGCCAGGGTAGATCCCCAGCGTGACTAGAGCGGAGAGGAAGGGCCCAGGGCAGCCGAGAGAGCTGGGGCCACTCTGCACCCGAAGAGTGGGATGTCGGGGGGCTGGGAGGGATCAGGTCCAAGTTCAGAGGTCAGCTCCTCACCGCAGGCTGAGGCGGGGAGAGGCAGGTCTCTTGGCGGTGAAAACCTGAGTTGGACACGCAGCGGGGCAGAGTGCCCTGGGCGTGCCAGCTCCCATGCCCTCTGGACCTGCCAAGTGAGCAGGGCCCGTGGTGGCATCAGTGGCCTCTGGGACTCACCCAGCCCTTCCCTGTAGACAGCAGGACTTTTTTTTGTGCCCCAGTATGAGGCCTCCCTGACATGCATGTGCCTTTGGCAGACAGATCCCACAGACATGGGTGGGTGTCAGCCCATCTCTGCCCCACAGCACTGAAATTCCCCGTCCAGGTACATAGAGAGTACCCTGTACCAGAGAAAGCCTCATCCTCAGGGTACCAGCCCTAGACAGATCCAGGCCAGGAAATGCCCTAGGGCTCAACCCCCAGGCAGCAGACAGGAACCCATGCGTGTTGGGGGTGTGGTGGCCACGGCTGAGGTCCCTGTCAGTGGGTGGCCTCGGCCTGAGCCAGACCTGCCCCAGCTCATCCCTCCTCTCAAGGCTGCAGGAAGCCTCTGCTTGCCCAAAGTGAAAGAGAAAGTAGCCCCCCCCAGGCCCGCCCCACCCCGCCCCATGGCCAATCCCTGCGGCCCCTCGAATCCACCCCCGCAGCTTCCCCTCTGGTGTGAGTGCCGGCTGGAGCGTGGAGGAGCCGTCCAGAGTGAGTGCCTGGGGCAGGTGGTGTGTCAGCGGTAGGTGGCGGATGGGCCAGCCCTGGAAAGCCGAGGTGAAGGTCACGAGTCCCTGGTGAACTGCGGGTGTGAGCCAGCATTGTGGCCCTGGGCCATGGCGCTGCCGGTGCCCAAAACAGCTGGCCTCCGGGGGGCCTCGGGAGGGGGAAAGGTCCCTGAGTCTGGCTGCGGCTCCCCAGCCCTGCCCCTTAGTGGGAGAGGTCTGCTCTCCCCTCCCCTGTAGTGGGTGGGGGTGCCAACCACAGGGGCCTCAGAAGGCCAGCCATTCCCTCACAAGGCTTCCAGGGGTCCCATCACTGGCTTCTGTGTGTCTGTGAGCGAAACTCCTCCGCGATGTGGAGGGGAGGAAGGTGGGCAAGGGGCTGGGTGTGGGGGCTGTGGACCTCTCCTTGGGTAGGAGTTCTGCAGGCGCGGGGTCGAGCTGCTGTGCGAGTTGCTGTACCCGGGGTGGCTGAGCCCAGGTGTGGGGGGCGCTTTAGGGTGCCCGGGACTCCAGCCCCCAGCGGGAAGGGGACAGGTGCCGGCTGCGGCTGTCTGTTGAAGGATGTGGGGGACAGTCACCACAGCTGTCCGGGTTGAGGTGCTCTGGTGGGCATCCTGGCCCCTGGCACTGCCCCCAGAGGTGCCTGGCCCTTTAAAAGCCGGAGCTGGCCCAGCGTGCACGTGAGCCCAAGCGTGAGCGTGCGTGTGAGGCTGGCTGGGAGGACGCTGGCGGTCGGTGGGGGGGGATTGCAGGGAAGCCAGGCTGTCCCGGGGGTGGGCATGGGGCTGGGGCAGCAGGTCGCTGCACCCTCAGGACACAGTGACGGCTCCAGGCTGGGGTGGTGGGTGAGGGGCCGCGAGTGAGAGGGAGAGGGAGGCTGGGGGAGGGTTATCTTCCGGTGGCCCCACCCTCACTCATTCCCACCTCCTCTTCCTCCAGGACAAAAGTGTCGGGGGGCTGACGCCTGGAAATTCCCCTGAAGGTGGAGCACTGCCACCTTCCCCCAGCCCCTTGGTCCCACCCTCTCCAGGCCTTCTTGCCTCCGACTCCGCCCTGACCCCGCCTGGTGTCCACCTCTTCAGCTCCCACCTGGGTGCCATTGAGTTAAATGGCTGATAAGCAGATCAGGTCAGATTCCAGTCCTGGCTACACGCCCCGCCCCCACCCTGATCCCTGGAGGAGGCTGGTCCTGACACCCCCTGTCCACACAGCCTGCCAGCCAAGCTCATCAATGGCGGCATCGCCGGGCTGATCGGGGTCACCTGCGTGTTCCCCATCGACCTGGCCAAGACCAGGCTGCAGAACCAGCAGAATGGCCAGCGTATGTACACGAGCATGTGAGTGTGCCGGGCAGGCGCCGGGCGTGGGGCCGGCGCAGGGCAGCGTGAGAGGCGGGGGTTTGCTGTGCCCCCACCCTGTTTGACAGGCAGGCGGGCCTGGGGGAGATCCCATGTGGGTCAGGACCGGGGTCGGGGCTGGGATGAGGACTTGGCCTCTTCTGTCAGCCTAGACAGTGCAGGGACCCTGGCCCCGGCTGGCCCCGGCTGGCCCCGGCTGACCCCGTCCCCTTGGCCATAGGTCCGACTGCCTCATCAAGACCATCCGCTCCGAGGGCTACTTCGGCATGTACCGGGGTGAGGCTCGGCTCGGGCTGGGCAGGCCTGGGTAGTGACCGAGAGTCTCAGGGGGGGGGGGGGGGGGGGGGAGGGGGCGGGGCTGGGCGTGTGAGCGTGAACGTGTCTGGCGGGGGGACTGGATCCCTGGTGAGCCGTGGCAGCTCCCCGCCCCCGCTCAGTGCCTGCTCCGTGGGATACCACACATGGCACCTCTGCCTCCTCTGAGGTGGGGGTGGTAGCCGCCTCTGCCTTCTGGGACAGGCTGGACCCGTCTGGCTGGGGAGGGCAGGGAGTGGGGTCATGACTGCAAAGCAGCTTAGGACACAATCCGCAGCCTGGATTTGGCAGAAGCTCTACAGCCCTGAGTTTGGGATACTGAGATGGAGCTCCACCACCTCCCCCGAGCTCTGGCCCCCTCCAGACCACACATGAGAGGCAGGGGGTCTGATCCCATGTGGGAGATCCCTCTGGTCCCAGCCCCCTGCCAGCAGGAGCAACCTCTGTCCCCCCAGGGAGGGAGAACCCCTCACGGAGGCCTCGGGGTACCCCCATGCTCTTAGCAGTAAAATGCTGCTGAGAATCAGACATAGATGGAGCTGCAGTGGGCCTGCGAGAGCCTGGGCCAGAGGTGCTGCCTGGCCCCGCCCTGCCTGGCACACACCAGGCCCAAATATGGGTGAGAGGGCAGGAGATGGTGGCCAGGAGTGACGAGGACGGGGCTTTGCCAGCCAGGAGGCAAGTCCTGGCAGAGCAGGTCCCCACCCAGGCCACTGAGCGTGTCCCCCAGCTGACCCCCTGCTGCACAGGAGCCGCTGTGAACCTGACCCTGGTCACCCCAGAGAAGGCCATCAAGCTGGCAGCCAATGACTTCTTCCGACATCAGCTCTCTAAGGATGGGTGAGGGGCCTGCCTGGGGTCCTTGGCTTCAGACAAAGGATGGGTCCCCCTGGCCAGCTGGGTCCCACCTGGGGGCTCTGCCTGTCTTCACCCCCTTGCTTGGGGCTTCTTTGACCTTGTGGGGCAGGCTCCCTCCTTTTCCCTGACGAGGGGAGCAGGGCAGATGCCAAATCAGCGGGGCTCTGGCCCAGCCGTCCTTGGCCCCCAACCACTGCCTGCTGCCCGTGTGAGTGAGGGCTTGAGGGCACTGACCGGCTCCCCCATCCCTTTTTGGGGCACTCAACCTCCAATTTCCCATTTTCCTTTGTTGGAGACAGCCCCACTGCCTTTCCCAGGCCCCTGCCTGTGGGGCCGTCTGTCCATCAGGCTCCTCCCTGCCCGCTGCTGCAGGGCTGGAGGTGGGAGGAAGGGAGGCTGTACCCCCACAGGCCTGCGCCTGCCTCCACGGCTCCCAGCATCCTCTGCAGCCAGGCACAGTGGGCAGCCCGAAGGGTGGCAGGTGGGCTTGTCTTTCGCAACTCACTGAGGCCCCGTCCCTACCACAGGCAGAAGCTGACCCTGCTTAAAGAGATGCTGGCAGGCTGCGGGGCTGGCACCTGCCAGGTGATCGTGACCACGCCCATGGAGATGCTGAAGATCCAGCTGCAGGATGCAGGGCGCATCGGTGAGGGGGGAGGGGAGGGGAGGGGGGAGGGCAAGGGCAGCGCAGGGCACAGAGGGCCAGAGTGCCCACTTTGCGCAGAAGAAGAGACAGCAGCTCCTTTCTCCCCAGCCGCCCAGAGGAAGATTCTGGCTGCTCAGGGCCAGCTCTCGGCCCAGTGGGGTGCCCAGCCCTCAGCGGAGGCTCCAGCTGCCCCTCGGCCCACGGCCACCCAGCTGACCAGAGACCTGCTCCGGAGCCATGGCATTGCTGGTCTCTACAAGGGACTCGGGGCCACGCTGCTCAGGTAGGAGGCACAGGGTGGGCGCGGTCGGGGGGTGGAGGGAGGGAGGGCTGGCCTGCCCACCCTGCCATCTCCTGTCCCCACCACCTCTGCCCTCCTCACAGGGACGTCCCCTTCTCTGTGGTCTACTTCCCGCTCTTTGCCAACCTGAACCAGCTGGGCCGCCCGGCGTCCGAGGAGAAGTCGCCCTTCTATGTGTCCTTCTTGGCCGGCTGTGTGGCCGGGAGTGCAGCTGCCGTGGCCGTCAACCCCTGTGACGGTCAGCGCAAGGGACAATGCCTGCCTGGGGATGGGGTGGGGGCGGGCCCTCGACCAGACGCACAGTGACCCGAGCACCCCTTGCAGTGGTGAAGACGCGGCTCCAGTCGCTTCAGCGGGGGGTCAACGAGGACACCTACACCGGGTTCCTGGACTGTGCCAGGTGGGGAGGTCCCACGACGGACGCCCTGGGGGCCTGCAGACCCGGACACCAGGCCGACCCTCCTGTCCTTCCCCACAGCCGGCGGGTGGGGCCTGGGGGCCTGCAGACCGGGCTGTCCAGTCCCTCCTTCCCCAGGGGGGTGTTGCTTGTGCTCAGGGCTGACCCTTCCCTCCTTCCCCGAGGCGGGTGGACCTGGAGGCCTGCATAACGGGCTGACCCGCCCCCCTTCCTCCACAGGAAGATCCTGCGGCATGAGGGCCCCTCGGCCTTCCTGAAGGGCGCCTACTGCCGTGCGCTGGTCATCGCACCCCTCTTCGGCATTGCCCAGGTGGTCTACTTCCTGGGCATCGCAGAGTCCCTGCTGGGGCTGCTGCAGGCCCCCCAGGCCTGAGCCAGCACCTACTCCACCCCAGCCAGCCGGGCAGGGCCAGTGTGGGGCCGGAGCCAGGCAGCCAGGCAGCCAGTGCAGGCCAGAGCAAGGGAAGACGTCTCCCCAGCCCTCCCCGTCAGCAGGGGCAGCAGGGGGTGGGGTGCAGGGTCCATGTGGGTGCTGCCCACACCGTTGGGATCAATGTCTTATTTATGTAGAAAATGCAGAAATCTTTACATTCCTCAATCTAGCCCCTGCCCCAATCCTGCCCTGGCCTGAACACCCCCAAGGACAGAGCTGGTCTCTGGGCTGGGGGCTCCAGGCCTGGGCTGGACCGGCTGGACCATACCGGCTCCAGTCTCCATGGCCGTCCTGGTCCACACAGGGACCCTGCACAAACCTATTTATTGAATCTGCTGGGCCCAAGGGGCTCTCCAGCCCTTCCGTCCTTCGCCAGCTGCTCTTGTCGCCTCCGCAGGGCCTGACTCTGCCTCCCTGGCCCGACTTGCAAGAGGACTGGGGTCCCCGACCCTCCATGTTGAGCTAGGAATCCCAAGTGAGGGTTGCCCTGGGGTGTGACTCTCAGGGCAAGCCACCTACCCACGGTGGGACTTTCTGGTGAGCCCCTTGGCTCCCACCCCAGGCTGAGGCCCGGACTGTGAGGTCTGTGTGTGTGTGTATGCGCGTGTGCGCGCGTGTGTGTGTGTGTGTGTGGTGGGGAGCTGGCCTGGCCCTTGGGTATGGGGCTGCCGGGGGCTGCCCTCCTTCCTGCCCAGACAGTGTGTGTGCTGTGTGTGCCCCAGGCTCTGTTGACCCTGTCCAGGAACGAACTTACCCAGTCTGGCCTCTCTTCTGAGTCCTCCACCCTGGCCTGGGATTGGCCAGGTAGCAGGGCGGGCATGGGGACCAGTGTGGAGCCTGAGGGGGGCTGCCCTGCTCTGGAGGGAGGGCCACCCCCAAGTCCCCTCAGGGCCCACCCTTTTCTCTGGGCCTCTGTATAAGGCCCTTGACGACACTCCAGAAGCCCCGTCCTGCCACCCGGCCCATCCCTGTTGTGAGCCGAAGCTCCCCCTGCCCCACCCCGGCCATGTGATCGTGCTGGTGCTGTGTCTCCCAAACCGGGGCCCTCCTCGGAGGTCCCTTCCCAGCGACACTACCTGGGGCCCAGGCCCGGGCCCCCCAGTTCATGGCTGTTCCTGGGAGCTGCCCCTCCCGTCACCTCTGAACCTTGGAAGCCGCTGCTGCTGCTTACAGAATTATATTTTTTTCTTTTGAAGAGTTTTAACAAGCTGTAACTTTTTGTGTCTTGTCTTGTCAGAGGATAAATAAATATTCTAAGTAGATGCTGCCGTCGGTCTGGTCTGGGGGTCTGCTGGGGGTGGGGGAGGGCAGCCCCTCTGCCCGTCACTGGCTTCCCTCACACTGCAGGGCTAGGCCCACGCACCGGCCCACCCACCGGCCAAGGGGCACCCTGGCCTGGAGGGGATGCTGGGTGCCGCCCCGCCGCCGCTCCCGCTCCCTGCCTCTGGCCGCCAGGGATGGGACTTGAACCCCGCGGCCGCGCTCCCTGACCCCAAGCCTGGCCCCGACCCCGGTTCTGGGCGGAGCCGGGTCTGCGTTCCCGGGGGGCGTGGCCTCCGTCGCCCCGCCCCCGCCCGCCGGCCCCGCCCTCCCGCGCCCGGAGCAGTGCATTGTGGGAAACTCCCGAGCTGTCCTCCGCGTCTGCAGCCGCCGTCGCCCCGCGGAGGAGCGCGCAGCCCGGGCCCGGCCGGAGGACGCGTAAGGCGGGGGGTCCCGCGGCGCGAGGAGGTGGCTCCGAGCCTTGGAGGTCAACGGGGTTGCGCGGCGGGGTGGGGGCCTGCTCTCCCGGGCGCAGCTGCTCCCGGGAAAGGGAGGCGGCGGCCGGGACCAAGTGCCACCAGCGGCGAGGCTGGGGGGCAGACCGCCTGCCCTTTGCAAACGTGATGCCCGGCAGCCGGGCCCCCCAGAGCTGCCAGGGCCAAGGGGTGGCTGGGCTTCCCTGGAAAGTCGGCAGCAGCGGGGCCTCTCCCGGAGACGCCCTCATCACGCTGTGACCTTCGGGTGACCTTCAGCGTGGCCAGTGCACCTGGTGGGGGGCGGGGAACGCGTCTCCCTCGGTGCCTTTCCCTGCAGGTCAAGGGGATTTCTCATCCTTCCCAGGGAGAGGCAGACAGGTGGCCTCTAAGGCTCTGGGGCAAGACCCACTCAGGTTCAGGGCAGCCGGGCCCCAGGGCTCTCCCCAGCTCTGCCTGGGTCGTGGAGAATCTGGTCACCGCCTTCCCCACCACCCAGAACCCCATCCTCCACCTCGACCCTCGGGCCAGATGCGGCCTGTGCCCACCCTGTTTCACGCCAGGGACTGTCTGTCCACAGAGACAGCACAGCCTTGGGATTGGCCCCGGGGCTGGAGGGAGGCACCCTCCCCTGTTGGGGGAGCGGCCCCGGGGCTGGAGGGAGGCATCTTCCCCTGTTGGGGGAGCGGCCCGGGGCTGGAGGGAGGCACCCTCCCCTGTTGGGGAAGGGGCCCCAGAGGCTGGAGAGGGGCAGACGGCCCCAGGAGGCACAGCCCCGAACTGCCGGCCTGGAGAGGCTCCTCGGTTTACTCAAGTCTGGGTTCTCGTGGGCCACCCACCCTGATGGCCACCTGAGATCCCGGGTCCTGCCCCTCCCTGCCCTCCTCCACCAGGACCCTGGCCAGGTGGCAGCCGCGGGGCCCCAGTGTCCATCTCTGCGAAGCAGGAATGCTCTCCTGAGAAGGGGTTGCCGTCAGCCCTCCCACTGGGCTCCCATCACCTCCCCTCCTTGGAAGGGCGAATGCTCTTCCCTCCGGTTCTCAGGGCCAGCCTCACTTCCCACAGAGCCTCCTGCGGCATTTGCATGGGCTTCGCAGAGGAGCACACGGAGGCCCCCGGCTCCTGCACCCTCCTTGGGGAGTGGTCGCGGACAGACGGAGGCCAGGCCTTGGAAGAGAAGCGTCTGAGGCCCTCAGGAGCTCCAGGGGTTCCAGAGAACTGGGCAGGGGCTTCCTGGCGACCAGATTTTCGGGGCAGTATGGGTCGGGGGTACTGGACCCACACGCGGCCTCTCGGTATCTCCCTCCAGGCCCATAGAATGCCCAGGTGCGGTGAGCTGTTCTGAGCCCCCAGTGCAGCCACCTGCCTGGCCCATACGCCTCGCCCACCATGGAGTCCAGAGGGAAGTCGGCCAGCAGCCCCAAGCCCGACACCAAGGCACCCCACGCTACCACCGAGGCCAAGGTAGCCCCGGCAGCCGATGGGAAAGCCCCTTCGACCAAGCCCTCGAAGAAGGAGGCCCCGGCCGAGAAGCAGCAGCCACCGGCAGCCCCCACCACGGCGCCAGCCAAGAAGACCCCAGCCAAGGCAGACCCCGCCCTCCTCAACAACCACAGCAACCTGAAGCCGGCCCCCACGGCTCCCACAGGCCCCAGCAGTCCCGATGCAACCTCGGAGCCCAAGGGTCCTGGGGACGGGGCAGAGGAGGAGGCGGCTGCCAGTGGGGGGCCTGGGTGCCCCGGTCCCTGGTCCTGCGAGAACTTGACCCCCCTGCTGGTGGCTGGGGGTGTCGCTGTGGCAGCCATAACCGTGCTTCTTGGTGTGGCCTTCGTGGCCCGGAAAAAATAATACCCGGGGGCCAGGTGGGGGGCACGGAGCCACCTCCTGTACAGACCTGAGGGAGCCAGTGCATGCAGAGCTCACCCTTATCTACGTGTCCACACGCACATTCATCACACACCCATATATGCCCCAATACACGAACGCAGTGGAGAGGAGGCCCGAGCCTGCCCTGCTGATCCAGGACCTCCCCAGCCTCCAGGGCAGAAGGGTCCACAGCACGGACGCCTGGAGGGGGCACAGCTGGGGAACCCTGAGAAAGGAATGGATCCTGTGTGTGGCCCCCTGGGCAGGGTGATCCAGGCCCCCAGGGCTGGTCTCTGAGTGCAGGTCGGGGTGCCGGGATGGTTTCTGCCTGGACCCCGCCCTGATGGGGACATCAAAGGTTGCCCCACTCTCCCCATTTCTGCTCTTTTCATAGCCCTGGGGGTCTGCCTGGGCCCAGGCGGTGGGACTGACCTGGGGTGGTCCCTCCCCATACCATCCAGCCTGGCTGGGTGGAAAGAGGCAGCCTGAAGCCTGGTTGTGTTGGGGGCTTCCCAAGGGTAGCCTTCCCTAGCTTGTGCCCCAGGGGAGCCCTGAGGCTGTCGGGGAGGCAGGGATGTCGAGGGCCCCTGGAAGCTGTGCCCACCCCACCCCGCTAGACCGCCCCTCCAGCCTGCACCCGGCACCATCTGCGTCTATCCAGCGTATAAATGCAATAACAGGTAGAGTAGAACTGCTTGGTGGCCACCGGCACACTGTCCTCGGCCCCGGAGCCTGACAGGCCCTTTGCACAGCCCCCCTCAGCGCGTGCGGCCCCTCAGCGCACAGCAGCAGGCGAGCTCCCGGCGGTGGTGGTGGGCACTGTGGGAACGGAGCCTGAGTGGAGGCTGAGTCTGAAATAAACTCTGTTGTATAAAGGCTGGGCTTGCGTCCTGACCTGCGTGTGGCGGGGAGACGCAGGGGCTTCCCACTGGGGAATGGGGGGTGACATCCACCCCCGGGCTTTCCAGGGGAGGGGCGCTGCATCCAGGTCCCTCTGGCTGGCCCCCCTGCCACTCCTATGCCATTATCCTGCGAGGCTTGGACTGAAGCCCCACCCAGGCCCTGCCACATCCTCCTCCCTGGCCGTCCTGTGGGTCCTGATCCAAGGTGGACACCCAGGGCCTCCAGGACCAAGGAGCGGTGAGGACATGGGGTGAGGAAGGGCAAGCCCCACTCTGAGGCTGAGCTCTCCAGCCAGGGGAGGCCCTTCCTCAGCTCCCCCTGCAGTGAGCCCCACATCCTGAGAGCGGAAGAGGCTCCCCTCAACGGCTCTCGCTCATGGCCCCCCAGCCCACTCTGACCAGGTGTCTAACTGGCAGCTTGGCCATGGGTGAGGCTGCAGCATGTAGGCCAATAGGACGCAAGGCTGCTGCTGCCCTGGAAGTGCCCCTGTGAGCTCTGCGTCCCTGGAAGTGCCCCCGTCAGCTCTGCGCCCTGGTCCCTGGAAGGGCCCACGTGAGCTCTGCATCCTGGGCCCCCAGGCCTCACCCCACAGGTGGCTGAGGCTGGCAGACAAGAGCCCGCTGGCCCCCTCCCCCACTAAGCCTTCTTCAGATGGTGTTGGGGGGACAGCCCAGCCGTGTCTCCCTCCTACCCTCCTGGCACACGCCCTCCCCAGAGCATTAGTCCCTGTACATGCACCCACACCAAGGCCCAGACAGATAAGACAGTGCACGGGGTAGAAACAGCCAAAACCGACCCTGCCATGACGCTCACCCAGGCTGCCCTGCGACAGCCACCTGTGCCTCTGCCTCCTGCAAGTCGATGGGGCCCCTACCCCTTGAGGCCCACGACCTGAGCCCGGCGCACAGAGGAGATGGCTCTGTGCACACGCTGCTCACACCTCCAGCTCCCAGCTCGCCTGCCCGTGGGTGCCAGGGTACTGTTGTGATAGGCCAGCAGAGCTGCACCACCTCGGCCTGCCCTCCAGCCACCCACTCTCTCCATTCTGTGGCTTGTGCTTTACAACCAACCAGCCAGCCCTTTGTGATACGGCAGGGACTTGGAGGGGCGGAGAAGACGGAAGACGGGTCCGCCATCTTTACCCACGCGGCGTGGCGCTGCGCTGCGGCCACACTCCACCCGTGACGCCGCCGCATCTCACTCAGCGATTCTCCGTGAAAGGATCCTTCGATTTCCCAAAACGTTTTCACCTTTAGACAAAGCAGGAATGAAAATCCTTGCAGGCTGGGCAAGGTGGCTCGCACTCGGAATCCCAGCACTTTGGGAGGCCGAGGTGGGCAGACGGCTTGAGCTCAGGAGTTTGAGACCAGCCTGGCCAACACGGTGAGACCCCCATCTCTACAATAAAAATATAAAAAGGAGCCAGGCACGAGGCGTGGTGCTGTGTGCCTGTGGTCCCAGCTATTCAGGAGGCTGAGGTGGGAGGACTGCCTGAGCTGGGGAGGCTGGGACTGTGGAGAGCTATGACTGTGCCACTGCCCTCCGGCCTGGACAACACAGCAAGACCGTCTAAAAAAACGACAGCAACAAAAACACCAAGAAAATCTTTGTGAAACCTATTCTGGCCAGGCGCGGTGGCTCACGCCTGTAATCCCAGCACTTTGGAGGCCAACACGGGCAGGTCACCTGAGGTTGGGAGTTCAAGACCAGACTGACCAACATGGAGAAACCCCGTCTCTACTAAAAATACAAAATTAGCCGGACGTGGTGGCGGGTGCCTGTAACCCCAGCTACCCGGGAGGCTGAGGCAGGAGAAGTGCCTGAACCCGGGAGGCGGAGGTTGCGGTGAGCCGAGATCGCACCACTGTCCTCCAGCCTGGGCAACAAGAGTGAAACTCTGTCTCAAACAAACAAACCAACAAACCCACCTCTTCTGGATTTGTGGTACAGCACGTACCCCTGGTTTGGGGTTTATTGTATACACATAAAATTTACTGTCTCAACCACTGAGAAGTGCACAGTTCAGTAGCTTTATGTGTGTGTCCATTGCCACCGCCCACCTCCAGACAGACACTCTGTCCCCCTTACACAGACTCCCCGCCTAGCCCCGGCACCCACCACCTCCTTTTGCCTGCACAGCTCTCCCAAATCTCGCACTGCGTATAGATGGATCATGCAACATCGTCCTTCTGACCGGCCTGGACCTGTCTATTTCACTCAGGGTCCATCCGTGATGTAATCTGTTCAAGTTCCCTTCCTTAGTCATGTTATTTTATTTTATTTTATTTATTTATTTATTTTTGAGACGGAGTTTTTTTTCGCTCTTGTTACCCAGGCTGGAGTGCAATGACGCAATCTCGGCTCACCGCAACCTCCGCCTCCTGGGTTCAGGCAATTCTCCTGCCTCAGCCTCCTGAGTAGCTGGGATTACAGGCACGCACCACCATGCCCAGCTAATTTTTTGTATTTTTAGTAGAGACGGGGTTTCACCATGTTGACCAGGATGGTCTCGATCTCTCGACCTCGTGATCCACCCGCCTCGGCCTCCCAAAGTGCTGGGATGACAGGTGTGAGCCACCGCGCCCGGCATGTTATTTTATTTTTATTTTTATTATTTTGAGATGGAGTCTTGCTCTGTTGCCCAGGCTGGAGTGCAGTGGCGCAACCTCGGCTCACTGCAACCTCTGCCTCCCAGGTTCAAGTGATGCTCGTGCCTCAGCCTCCTGATCAGCTGGGATTATAGGCGCCCGCCACCACACAGGCTAATTTTTGTGTGTGATTTTTTCTTTTTTCCTATTAAACCGAAAACAAAATTTTTGTGTTTTTAGTAGAGACAGGGTTTTCATCATGTTGGCCAGGCTGGTCTCAAACTCCTGACCTCAGGTGATCCACCCACCTCGGCCTCCCAGAGTGCTAGGATGACAGGCGTGAGCCACCGCGCCCGGCCTTTTTATTTTATTTTTTTGAGATGGAGTCTCTTTCTGTCACCCAGGCAGTGATGTGCTCTTGGCTCACTGCAAACCTCTCCTCCCGGATTCAAGCGATTCTCCTGAATCAGCCTCCCGAGTAGCTGGGATTACAGGCATGCACCACCACGCCCAGCTAATTTTGTATTCTTAGTAGAGACAGTTTCTCCATGTTGGTCAGGCTGGTCTCGAACTCCTGACTTCAGGTGATCACCCACGTTGTCTCCCAAAGTGCTGGGATTATAGGTGTGAGCCATTGTGCCCGGCCCAACTTTTCCTTCCTTTTTGTGGCTCATAAAAGGGAAAAAAAAAGGCTGAGTGCGGTGGCTCTCGCCTGTAATCCCAACACTTTGGGAGGTGGAGGCAGGTGGATCACAAGGTCAGGAGTTTGAGACCAGCCTGGCCAATATGGTGAAACCCCGTCTCTTCTAAAAATACAAACGTTAGCCGGGCATGGTGGTGCATGCTTGTAGTCCCAGCTACTCAGGAGGCTGAGGCAGGAGAATCGTTTGAACCTGGGAGGTGGAGGTTGCGGTGAGTTGAGATTGTGCCATTGCACTCCAGCCTGGGTGACAGAGCGAGACTCTGTTCCCCACCCCCCGAAAAAAAAGAAGGCTCCTGGCTATTTGGGTTTCATCATTTGATTTTTCCTCATTGTGCCATTTGTGTGTGTTTTTTTCTTTTTGTTTCTGAGACAGAGTCTTGCTCTGTCACCAGGCTGGAGTGAGGTGGCGTGAGCTTGGCTTATTGCAACCTCCGGCTCCCAGGTTCAAGCCATTCCCCTGCCTCAACCTCCCAAGTAGCAGGGACTACAGGTGCCCACCACCATGCCCTAATTTTTTTTTTTTTTTTTTTTTTTTTGAGACGGAGTTTCGCTCTTGTTACCCAGGCTGGAGTGCAATGGCGCGATCTCGGCTCACCGCAACCTCCGCCTCCCGGGTTCAGGCAATTCTCCTGCCTCAGCCTCCCGAGTAGCTGGGATTACAGGCACGCGCCACCATGCCCAGCTAATTTTTTTGTATTTTTAGTAGAGACGGGTTTCACCATGTTGACCAGGATGGTCTCGATCTCTTGACCTCGTGATCCACCCGCCTCTGCCTCCCAAAGTGCTGGGATTACAGGCGTGAGCCACCGCGCCCGGCCTCATGCCCTAATGTTTTTGTATTTTTAGTAGAGACTGGGTTTAACCACATTGACGAGGATGGCCTCAATCTCCTGACCCCATGATCCACCCACCTTGGCATAAGCCATCATGTCCGGGGTGTTTTTCTTTTCTTTTTTTGAGACAGAATCTTGCTCTGTTGCCCAGGCAGGAGTACAGTGACGTGATCTTGGCTCACTGCAACCTCCGCCTCCCAGGTTCAAGCAATTCTCTTGCCACAACCTCCCGAGTAGCTGGGACCATAGGAGCTTGCCACCATGCCCGGCTATTTTTTTTAGTTATTATTTTTAGTAAAGATGGGGTTTCACCACGTTGGCCAGGCTGATCTCAAACTCCTGACCTCAGGTGATCCGCCCGCCTCAGCCTCCCAAAGTGCTGGGATTACAGGCGTGAGCCACTGTGCCCGGCATTTTTTAAATTTTTAGTAAAGATGGGGTTTCGCTGGGCGCAGTGGCTCAAGCCTGTAATCCCAGCACTTTGGGAGGCCGAGGCGGGTGGATCACGAGGTCGAGAGATCGAGACCATCCTCGTCAACATGGTGAAACCCCGTCTCTACTAAAAGTGCAAAAAATTAGCTGGACATGGTGGCGCATGCCTGTAGTCCCAGCTACTCAGGAGGCTGAGGCAGGAGAATTGCCTGAGCCCAGGAGGCGGAGGTTGCGGTGAGCCGAGATCGCGCCATTGCACTCCAACCTGGGTAACAAGAGCGAAACTCTGTCTCAAAAAAAAAAAAAAAAAAAAAAAGACGGGGTTTCACCACGTTGGCCAGGCCGGTCTCCTCAAGCTCTTGACCTCAGGTGATGCACCTGCCTCAGCCTCCCAAAGTCCTGGGATGACAGGCCTGAGC